GTAATCCAAAACACACAGCGGGAAAAGAGGACAAATCCAGAGCATGGGCATGCTATTCGCTTCCCTTCTAGTAACAGTCAGGATCAGATTTGCCCAACTGCTGAGGAAACACAGGGCAATAATGTGCGAGTGATCCACACCACTTACCACACAGGTTTTCAGCAATTCAGGAGGGAAAAGAATGCATAGGTACATATGCGCTTATAAATATTTCCTTCTTTCTCCATTTAGAGGTATTTGATTCAAAGATACAGTCCTCAAGCTGAGAAGTCCCCAAAATACAAGTGATTATTTCTAGTTGCTTCGTTCAGCTCATGGTAGTGTTGAGCTTGATCAGGGAGAGGGCTTTTCCTTTCCCCCCTTTAGTTTTCCCTCCTGCATCTATCACTTTATCATCTTTGAGAGCTGCCTGACCAGGCTTCACTTTTTTCTGCTTCTAGGGACCTATGCTTAAATATGCAACTGCGTCAGAAAGAGGATGTGTGTGCGTTGATAAACTCCCCATTTGTGTAACGCTTAGTAAACTTCTGTTCATCAAATTCCCAACACAGTATACTTAATTTGATATTTGCTGCAAAGCAGAAAATCAGCAATGAAATATTAGCCATATTGCACTGAGAAAACAAATATATTGTGAAAGATCATTTATCATTAGAAATTTTTGCTTTAATTTTAAATCAGGCAGCCGAAACAGTATTATAAGAAAAATTGCTTTGTTTATATAAATTCTGTGCTTGAGCAGCAGGTAACTAAGTTCATATCGACAATAAAATAAACTATGGTTTGCTCATCCCACTGTGCAAAAGTAAAAGTTCCCCTGCAAGTACTGTCATAAATCCTTGAAAATGTTTAAGTGCTCTGACACCAGGAAGTAGTTTTCCTGCAAAATGATGTTACCAATACAGTGTTAGAGAAATCAGCTTTGCTGGAACTTTGCTCCTAAGTAAGTCATCCACATGAAGTACAAGTTCGCAATAGTATCAAAACTAGTAGGTTCCCATTTTCCAGTATTGGAAGCAAAAACTGTTTAAATCAAGGTGCCTCTCTTAAAGGACTTTGCACAACAGTCCTACTGGAAACAACATTCCTAAATCCTGATAGCTTCAGAAATTTAAAGCTTTTCCACACCATGCTGGTGATACAGGCAGACATCAAGGGTTAAACTGGTTAAACCACCAAAAGTTTGTACTCTAATCTCAGAGCCTGCGACTCAAGCTCAGAGTGAAATGTCAAATTTATATTCCACAGAGGAGCAACAGCCTTACTTTAGTCCTGGTTTAGACTCCTTTCTTTTCTCATCCTAGAGATACTCTTAAAAAAAAGAAAAACTGAATAAAGACGTAAATACAACCACCTCATCCCACAGACACTCCTAGCAGCAAAAATATCACCAAAGAAGGAATGATGGAGAGCAGGTTAGGATTGTCAGAGAAACTGGCATAGGATGCTCCCATACCACCACTCTGTGGCTTCAGAGCAGCAACCCACCGGTGTTGCAGCATCTGCCAACCCACCACTCCCTTGACAGCCCCCAGGATGTTGAACCGGATTCTGCACTTACAGAGCAAATAAATCCCAAGGCATTTTACCCAGGTGTTCTTCTGTTTCACGTGTCACCTTTTTTTTTCTTCTCCTTTGTATCACCCGAAACATGAAACTTTTTTTAAACAGATTACCATATTGCTTCCTGAATGTTCATTGCTTCCAATTGCTTATTCCCCACTGACAAATTAGTTCTTTAGGGTGTTTTCCACAGCAACCAATGTAATCTCACAGAATATTATGAGTTTGACTGGAAAATAAGCACCATAAACTCCCGTAAAACTTGCCTGTTAGAAACTAAGGAGAGAAGAAAACAAGATATTACATGCGAGACAGAAATGTCAAAGCAAAATACATGTCAATGTTTTTTCCACTGAATATAACTGCATTCTTCTTACAATAAACATGCCAATTCAGAACAGAAAGCTTCCAGCTGAGCATCATGCTCTCAACACCCATAAGTCAGACTGCATAGCAGATGTTAAATGTGAAATCCATTAAGACCAATTAGATTCTACAGAGAGGAGGAGAAGAAAAAAAAAAGCAGTAATAGCACACAGAGGTATTACACAACAGTGCTGGGAGGCACAGAAAGCCGCAAAAGACAGAAGACCTGAAAAGGCCCAATTTTACCCTCCCCTCATGAAGGGACCGGCTAACAGCTCTGCTGAGATGCCTGCATTCCCAGGAAGCAAGGAGGGACTCTGGCCTCCTCTTTCCATCTAGAAACGGCTTTTGAGAGACAGTCCTAAGGTCATCCTCTACCACGCACCATAAGGCGGCCCATATGCTGAAATGCCAATGCAGCAGTTGGAGCCTCTTTCCCAAGCTTCTTGTGCATTTACTATTGCATTAATTGACCCAAGTCACCATGACGCATGCTAAGGTGAGAGTTTGGTAGCCCAGAGATCTCCATCAGCAGTCGGGCTCCACATGAGCATGGCTTGTAGCCAACGTACCACAAAAAAAGAAAAAACATGGTATGCTCTAATAGAGCCTTTCCAATACCAACATAAACAGTTACTCTTTTTATCATCCAGTAACATACAGGATTTGTAATAGTTGCATGGGGCAGACTGAGCACTTTTCAGCGCTAAGCCATGTATGTGAGTTAAATTCTGGCCATGTAGCAACTGTGTAGATAAATGAGCCAGTCATTGCATACGAGATAGCTTGCACACCACTGGGGGCAAAGAATCTAATTTTGATAGGAATTATGCATACTAAAAAGGAATGTCAGTCTCTGTACTTGTCAGGACATGTTGCCAAAGGCTGAAGCATTATTTCCTGGTATGCAGTGTCAAACAACTTCTATTTCTTGAATTAAAATTAGTCTGCAACAACTAATCCATCTCTGGATATTAAGCAATTTATAAATTAAATAGATGCATACATAGTATCTAAGATGCATTTGATCTGCAGCATCATTTAACCTGCAGCATGCAGAAAGACAAGGGGCAGATTATACCTAGCAAAGTTAGGGATGTAATAGAAAAAGGCTTGCAATCTATTTCACAAAATATAGATTAAAGGCCACCTTTAGTCTTTGCACATTCCTCAGCAGCTTTCAATGAGAAACCCATTCAGCAACTCGCGACCTAAGGAAATGGGTGAAAGATACATATCTTACTATATGTTTTTCAATCACTTTGTAACTTCCTGATGCTAAAATATGACTCGAGTTTACCAGAAGTCCTCAGGAGCAACGGTCAAAAAGAAGTCCGTGTGTCTGCTACATAATTATGGACCAACAACTAACAGTTTCTTGCTAAGGATGTTCATGCTGTGAATAACAAATGCCAGATAGGCATTTACAGGGACTTTCTACAGTGTAACAGGAAAGTAGGTAGGTTTCTTCTTGCCTGGCACCAATTCATTATCAGGTAACAGCAAAACCAAAGTAGCCCACACAAAGCTGTTTTATCTTGATATTTTTGCCTGTAGGGCACAGGGCAGGGTTGAAGATCCTCCATAAGAGCTCTGGAAATCAGCCACCTCCTAAGAGGCACAGCTCTATCTCCGAGGTTCCTGTGGAAATATGGCTGAGGAACCATTCGAGGAGCACATGCTCGTCTCTCTGGGTATTGAGCTCTGTCGAAGGGTGGAGAAAGGAATATAATCCTTCTGCTGGGAAGTCTAGAGACAGGTAACCTGACTGATTTTCTCACCCCGATACAGAGCACAGGCAGGCTTCCAAGCACAGCTTTCCCTCTGATGCACTCTTGGGCAGAAGCAAAGACACAGCAAGCATCCAGGGCATGTAATAAATAATAAATAAATAAATAAATATTGTTTTTTCAAAGGTCTCCATCAATTTGACATTTAGTCAATTAAAAAATAAAAAGACTTGTTTCAGGTGCTATGCTTTGCCTTTGCTTCTCTTCCTGTTTTGGTGGTTTTGTAATTTTCTCTCAGTCTTGCTGCATTTCACAAAAATTTATCTAATTATAGGAAAAAGTATGAAATCACATTAATTAAAATGTTGCCAAATGCACAGCTAAGTAAACAAAATTAAAGTATGCTTTTCTTTATTCAACATACTTGTAGCGGAACCCTTTTTTTGCTTTCGTAAGTAAAAACAACACAAGAAAAATATCTGGCAAAAATAGTTTTCTGATGTCAAATTAAATAATTAAATGTTTTACTTTACATATTACAGTAAGTCAGAAGACTAAAATCAAAACAAAAATCATAGTGTACAACAGCCAGTGCAACCCTGGCATAATTCCACATAGATCAATAGTATTACATCAGGGATTAATTTGGAACACTGATCTGAATTACAGCACTGCTCTATAGAGCAACTTGATCATGACACAAAAATAAATAAATAAATAAAGCTTTATGAGCACACACAAATGCACACCATGAAAAAAAAATCTGTTTCTGCCAAAAATAGAACAAGCCATTTCACATACTCCTTAATAAGGAATTCTTACTATTTTGGAAATCAGCAAGGCCATTTTTCTCGGAAAGGGCATTTAAATAATTATGCCAAATACTTGACAAAGTCCATGCAGAAAAGTGTAACGCTCTCCTACAACTCAGTTTTCACATTTCTTAATTAAATATGACATGCTTGACAGGCTATGCAATTAATCTTCAAAAACTGTTTTATTCGAGTTTTGAAGGCTGTATTTAAAGCTCTGAAGCCTTCTCAGCCGAGGCTGCTCGCCACCTACCTAACACCCTGCAGCGTGAGCAGCTCGGTGAACTTCTCCGCCGAGCAGCGCGCTGCTCGCGTCTCCTCCTCTGCTCAACGCCGTGTGCCCAGACACAGTTTTGAACACAGAGCTGGGTGCTGCTCTAACTCCAGGACGGTGCAGGTGGAGGCTGCATCTCCCACCACTGAGGTGGGCAAATGTTTCTCCAGACCTCGCTCCTGCGCTCCATCACCTCTATCACCATGGGCTTCACTCAACTCCATGCACACATTACAGATATTTAAGACACATTACCTGTGTCTTTTAACGGCAAATCTCCACCAAGGGCTGGTGCTTTTGCCCAGCTGCGGTTTTATCAGCCCCAAACCGCTCTCTAGCCCAGCTCCCATGCAGAAGGGCACTCTGCGAGACGGATGCTTGCCATTCGTCACCGCTTCATCTGCCACTTGCAAGTGACCCGAAACCTTTCAGGTTAAGCCCAGCCAAGTGGCAGAGTGACTCGGAGCCGCGGGCGTGCAACAGAGCGGGGCGGTTTCTGCTTGTTATCCAAGACGGACCCTTCCTTCCAGACTCCGGGGAAGTTGGCAGTGCCCGCAGCGCGGTGGGAATGCGCTAACGGCAACGGCAGCCAAGGTAGCAGCAAATATTAAAGCCCTTCCTCGCTGCCGGCTCC